ATTGCTATGTTAGCCAGTATTTGACTTTGCTTTTAAATACATTTACTTTTTCTGAAAACTTAGTGTGCGTTAACTGAAAAATTTACATTTACGCTACTTATGAGAAATGAAAAACATAGGTTACAGCACACAAGAATTAATCTTGATGTGTTAAGAGTCTGTCCTAAGAGGATACACATCCTCCTTTTCCATGAAGAGTGACAGAGTCAAGGAAATACATTCCCTGTCCACAGAGAACCCCTGAGATTAAATAAATCCTAATAGTTCATCATGCTGCTGTCCTCGCAAGAATCTATGCTATCACAAAATCCCTAAATTCTATTGTGTGTCCTAATTTACAGGCTCAGTCTCCACACATTGTTAATTAGATTTGGTAGCATCATAGACCATCACCCAAATCATTGTGGAAGTAGTAGAAGGGAAGAGTAGGGGTTCTTGTTCTTCCAGAATGCAGTGTAGTAGATTGAACTGTGACACAGTCCACTGAATGTGATGTTTTGGCTTGCATGTAACTGTTGCGGTTGTGTTGTTCAGAAGATACGATAGAAACCACTGATAAGTCAATACTTGCATGTTTTTACCCCATAAATATCTCCAACAATCCCATTCCCTAAATATGGGCGGGAGGAAATTAATCATGGATACTACTATGTAGTAGTATCTAGAGTATGATGACTTATATATACAAAAATTTATTAGCCTTTTTCAGGCCTTTAGGCATATTTTTTTCATCTCCATCTGAGGATTAAGAATGAATATGAAACCTACAAATGCTATTTTCAAAACCATTACATTTGAAATGTACATTCCTGAATTAGAGCATTATTTCCTGTCTTGATCTGAGGGATTTAAAAAAAATGTGGTTTACAAGTGACTGCAGAAGTCCAAAAGGAAAAGGGAACAGAGAAAGATGGAGATGTTCCTGTTTGTATATTGTAAGTATTTCTGAAAAGGCTCTCCCGAATGAGTCTTTGGATCTGCTCCCTTCTCGCCCACAGTCACTCTATTTATAGGGTAAACTAAGGTCTGATATGTAGGGCCCGAGATACTCTGTGTAGCCAGTAACTCAGTATCAGGAAACTTGCATATTTGTTGACACTGGCAGCATTATAAGAATTATATTACCCTTGAGGATTTTCCCCTGTTAGGTACAAAAAGTCTTTTGTTACATAAATGTGTTGCACATATCTCATGTTTTTTTCTTAAGGAAAGAAGTGCAGAGGTGAATAGTGGAAGAAAAATCTTTTCCTTTGCCTTTCCTTAGCGTAATAAAATCCTTTATAATTGCCTGGAAAATACAGTAAAATGTTTTGTAAGTATGAATTAAGAGGCTTAGGTTCTCCTTTCAGACCTCACTGTCAAAGGACCTTACCAGATAAATTTAATAGGTATTGGCTGAAACTGCACATTGAAATAACCTAGTTGGGTGCTTCAGAAGTTTCTAACACAATAACTGTCTCTAGTCTAATGTCAGTGCACAAAGTGACAGTGACTTTTCATTTTTCGTTTTTGAATGGCATAGGATGAAGTGTCCCTAATGACAATTTCCTTTTTGCTACATCTTTTGCTTCAAGCTGAGGGTAACCAGTCTTATCAGTTAGAAAGTACAAAAGATCAGAAATTTTGTGAGTAGGATACTGAAGATGTTTCCAAGTACACTGAGGTGGTGTTTATTGTGGGAAGAAGTATCCTGTTGGCTGCCAAAAAATTACTGTTGACAGAAATGAGTAACTCCACAGAAAATGAATCACTGAAACACTTGTACAAAATCCCAAAGGAGCTACATTTTTTCAGTGTAAGCTTGGTTTAAAACTCCATGGCACACACTTGCAAAGAATTTAAGGCTGAAAATACAACTCATTTCAGCTCCTAACCTCATCTCTCTGCTTTTGATACTAAATCAGACATGAAACATTGTTTGAGAAGTCAGAATATAACTTGTAATGGGTTTCTGATTTTATAGAATTTGAGGTTAAATAATTAATAACACTGTTTTGTAATGTCATTCAGTAACTACATCACCTGGCCCTCAGCATCCTCCTATACCTCCTGTCAAGCCTACACAAATGCGAAGAAAACCTCTGCCTCCAAACACCGTGACTGGTAAACCAGGGAGTCCAGGTATCTCAGCCTTTTCAGCATAAGTATTTTATTATGTGTGAGACAATACTGAACTGACTAGCACGTATAGCAGAATTTTATAGCATAGATTAATTTTTTCTTAATCTGTGATATCTATAGAAACTAGTCTTCTGGATCATACAGGCCTTGTGTCTTTTGTCTTCATACATAAACTCTGTTTTCCTTTTGTTTTCCTAACCTAGTTATGTCAAAATCATCCCTAGGGAGCTGAAAGCAAAATAGCATAATGCAAGTCAACCTTTAAGAAAATCAACCTTAAGAACATTTCATGTCTACTAATAGCATTTGCAGTTACTTAATGTGCGTGTCAGATGGGAGATATTGAATATTATGCTTCAATGCATACTCCCAACCCGGAGTAAAGAAATTCTGTAAACAATTTCTGTAAGAAATTTTGTAAAGAAATTCTGTCCCATATATATGGCACATCCATTAACCACTGCAAATAATGAGCTAATAGGCACCCAGAAAACTAACTGCACTGGGAGGTAGAGTGAGCTGAGTTATTTCATGTGCAAAGAGTTTAGCTTCATTCCTATGCTACATTATTCCTGCTTCTCAGTATCAGTATAAGAGCACACAAACTTTCACATTTCCTATTTTATTTTAATTTTATCCTGAAGCTGATATTCAGTATCCTTATGTATGTTTTGTCTGTGGATTCTATAGAAGAATCCTTAGGCTAATGTTATTCCAGGTAGTCAGAAACTATCATCTCATTATGCTTAGCATCATGAGAAATGCTTCCCTCTTCATATTACTCTCTGTAGTTCACTGGAAATATAAAGGTCTTGGCTCTGCTGTATTTCCTGTTGGCTTTTTTTGGTTTGTTTCATTTAGGGCTTTGTGTGCTCTTAAGGCACTAAAGACTTAAATAATTCTTTAGTATTTTGTGCGGCAGATTAGAAGCAAGAATCTCCAAGCTGGATGAAACAAGCTGTATATTTACTCAACAGCAGAGCCAAGACAGAAATGTTGTGCCTGTACTTGCTGTTGATTGGTGGTGTTTCCTTAGTAATAGCTACAACAGAACATAAGACATTGTCAGTCTTAAGCTGTAGCATAAAAAAATGTTGACCTGATACATTTTCTTTTCCTTGTAATGGGGTCTATGCTAATTTTCTCCATTAAGTGTCTAATTCATTTACCAGTGTTTTGAAGTTTCACCCTTTTTCCATACACTAGAGGCCAGGTTATGTGGTAGTCAGCAGTTACCATACCTTCCTAGGCATTCAAGATGGAATAAATTGGTTAGATGATCTGGTTCTTCCTGGTGGGGCCAGTAGCAGATTCTCCTTTTTCTGTGTTTCCTAGTGTTTTATCCAGCTTAGTTTTAAACATCATAATTGAGTTTCTTCTGGTTCCCTGGAGAGACTGTTCCACAGTACTAACAGGAAAAATTTGCCTCAATGTTCTTGTTGGATTTTCCCTTTCATAATTCTGTCCTGTTTCTCTTTCTCATTAACACTGTGATTAATTCCTTACTTGCATCTTTCTTACTCATCCGGTGGATGAGTATTATAGGAAGGTTTCTATGCAGACATTAGAAGTCCCTTGAATGGAAAAAAAGGAAACAGAGAGTTCCAGAAATTTTGTGAAACTGGACTCCAGTGAGAATCTTAATACATTTCCACTTTATTAAGGAAATTAATGGCAGGTAGGGATTCTTGTTGTTTTAAACTTGGTTCACCAGAGTTCTGCCTTCAGTCATCATGTTCTTCTGTGTCATGTATGCAGGGAAGGTAAGTACATTATGTAGTTCTTGACTTTTTGGGGGTTGAGATTTCAGAGTCATGCAGTGGTTATCTGGGAGTATCTGCATGTTTTGTGAATGTGGTTCTTGTCTTTTACAGCTATTTGAAAACACTCGAGACATCCTTTACCATGGATTGCTTGCCTCTTAGAAACCTGTTTTCTTTATTAGGTGATAACAGCTGAGGAGTAAAAGCAATGTCACATAATCTAAAATAATGTTTTAAATAGCTATTTAATTATGGGAGATAATATTGCCTCTATCAATCAGTTTCTGTCCAAACTTATGGTGCCTACTACAGAACAGGTCAGTTCAGAAAGAAAGCTTTTTCCCTTGGGTCATAATAGTGTTAGTAATAGTGTTAGTAATATTGAAAATGTTGGACTTGGTTGCATTTTTCTTACCTTCATTTGAAGTGCATCTTAATTTCATTTAGTGGAAGCTCCAGTACTGTTCTGTGGTTAAACTCTTAATGCAGACCATAGTTAAGGACTCAGTGTTTATCATCGTGCAAGCTCCAGCCCTGCTAATATATATGCTGTATTGAGAGTAGAAATGAAAGGACCTTACCTACATTTGCGGGAAGAATCCAAGTTTCAGTTGCTGACTTCAGCTATTCTGTCTTACAACTCATGAAGAAATGTGCTCTTTTATTTGAGAAACACAAATGTCAGTGCTGGTCATTTTGCATCCTTCTACCAGTCTGTGTAGGATGGTTCTGTGCATTAAACCAGGTCATATTCTAGCTCACTGAAGTCCTCCAAGACAATCTCCAAGTAGCAAAGAATTTTCTTACTGGATTTCAGGAGTAGGTTATATTGGCAATAAGGACAATTTGGAACTTTCCTAAATCCAACTGGAAGCTGTTGTATAAGTTTTGAGGGAATATCATAGTTTAAATGATAGTACTTGTTTCATGAAGCAGGTGTCACAAATCTGAGTTCTGTTAGAAAATCAGAAAGCTGTTTCACTCTTTTAAATAGTGAATGCCTTGTTGCCACAAGTTCCTCCTTCCATCACTGTAGCTAAACCCGCTGGACCAACACCACCTGTGAGGACAGGAACGTCATATAAGATGCCAACAGCTTTTGCAACTCCAGAGTATTATGGTAAGCATATTACAGACAGTTCTGATTTCTTTTTTTTCTTTTTTTTTTTTTCCATGAACATAAAGGTTTCCTTTTTTCCTTTTGCTTCCCTTCCCTAAACTATATTGATGCATTGTATATTTAATATACAAAGTATTCTGTCTGGGGTGGTTCTGATTTCCTTTATACCACTTTGTGACTTTTCTAACCTGGCTGAGTTCATCTGGCTGTCTTCTGATACACACCTTGGTAAATGAGAACATGATGGCCCTTCCATCTTCCTAGAAATCAATACATGCTTAGTAGGCTTTCAATACTGTGCAGTGACTACTTTAAGTCTGTGAAGGGAGTAGATAAGGCACTTCTTTTCCTGAACATTTCTTTTTGCACAGGACATAAATTCAAATTATTATTTGACAGTGTTATCAAATTATTATTTGATAGTGCTTAACATGGTTGTGATATTCTCCTAGCTATCTGATCAAAGTGCCATCATTTAAGTAGAAAAAAATGTAGTAGGGTAAACATAGCGGTTAGTTGGTAATTTGCCTTTATAAAATTGGGAGTTAACTCCAAGTTCAGACCTAAATCTCCTCAAAGTGGCATACAGGAATGGGTTGCTAGATTTATTAAAAAATGCTTGTTGTGAATATATTGTGTTTTGTCCATTGAAGTATTTGCATCTAAGAGAAGATTCTGTTCAGTATAGTGGCTACTTAACACAACACTGGTGTCATGAATCCTGACTGCTTTAGCACATTTCTGTTCACCAGTGTATTTGTGATTTCCTTGTCGCTATTTTTAGAGAAGTTAATGTGCCAACATAATAGTGCTATATATTCTATGAACATGAACCAAGCTCCAAGCTAAACAGCCAGTACAGTGCAAAAAGATCCTTTTTAAAAGGTCTAAAGAGCATTTTCCATGTATTACATGAACTGAATCCAGCAGCAGTCACGAAGTCTGTCATTTTGATTATAGCTATCTTTATACTAGCAGGTAAGTATGGGCTTTACTTAGCATCACAGCCAAAATGGAGTCCTTAAAAGGAAAAGACAGATCTGGCAGCAAAGGTCTACCATGGAAGAGCTTTATCATGATTTAAAATGGCAAATGAACTGTGAAATGCTGCAGTTCTAACACTGAAACTTAGTATTTATTGCAAATTAAATTATAACTGTGTTTCCCACAGTTGATGCAACTGTCTTCAGCTCAAGTCCTACATCAGAAACAGATTCTTCAGGCAAACCAAGGTACCAAGGTAGGATTTTACTAGCTATGGTATTTTTATTCAGGGGAATATATGAAGACTGACCTATCTTGCAATAAAATTATCATTTGGTTATTCAAAGGCCAAAACTTCATTTGATTCTGCTTCACTTTAATGTCAGATGAAAGGGCTGTAGTGCAGACCATCAGCAAATTCTTGACTAAATTTTACTTCTACTTTCTTCTCTGCGACCACCTCCTAGTTCACAGTCGTGCCGACAAACATGTTGTGGCTCTTCATGTATGCCAGCAGCAGTACAACTACACACTGTTCACATTCCACCAAACCAAATAAAAATCTTCCTGTGGGCTTGCAAGCCTACCTGGAGAGGTATTGCCCCAATACCAGTGCATCATACCATAAGGGATATCTACCCATCATACATGCCTCACCTCTCATTCCATGCTGTGCCTATTCAGATAGTCTAGTAATATGGTAACATATACTAGACTAGATAATAAAGTAGGCAAGTTTTTGCTGTTGCAGTAATCTAGAGAGTTTAGCAAGGTGAGATGGCAGGAAGAAGTGCTTTTGTACCAAAAGATTTTTCAGGTTTTTTTTCTTAGTCTGGTAAGAGACACTACATTTCTGAAGACCCTGTCTTTCTTGCCAGAGCTTATTGTTTACATCCAATAGAAATTTTAATTTTAGAACTAATGTGTTTTTCTTCAGTAATCTTCCTAATTTTGATGCAGAGTACAAGATGTTTGCCTCAGAGGGTTTGTTTCAAGGTTTGGTCCGGTACCACTGAAAATGGTTAAGATTTTGACAGTCACTTTAGAAACTGCAAGTTTAATGATGGAATGACTCTGGACTAAACTTGTTAGTCTTTCTAGTGAAACAAAGTGGTGATGGGCATTACATCGTTGTATTAGCATGGCGCTCAAAAGCTGCAAATGGAATTGTAGTGTCATTGTACTAAGAAGGACTAAAATTAATTGTCCTATTTTATGATAGAAGATAATTCTTTCAAACAGTGCGTATCACCCACTAATACCTTCAGAGTGTTATTTAATTCATGGTGCCAATGGGAAAGGGGTGAAGGCAGTGCGGATTCCAGGTCTAACAACAATTTAAAAAACCCAACAAGCAGCTTAATATTGAGTATATGGTTGCTATTCTTAAACATTTATGTTTGACTTGTTGTGCAGATTTTTAGTTGGTGTCCTGAGATGGAAGTTGTGCACTAGGTGAAATCACATTGACTTTTTGTAAAAACACTCTGTATTGAACAACAGCTCTTTCCTATTGCTCTTAGCCCCCCATGTCAAGTACATGAAGAAAGATGATGATGTGCCTTGCTCTATCACAAGCTCTCTTGAACATTTTCCTCAAGAAGAAGCTGGCAGCAAGGAAGAACCTACTCGTCCTCCACAAAATCCTCCAACCAACCTCACAGTGGTGACTGTTGAGGGCTGTCCAACTTTCGTCATATTGGACTGGGAAAAACCAGACAATGACACTGTTACTGGTTGGTTTAATTTCTTTCCTCCATTGTATCAGAATACAGTATTTCCAGCTTATTTTTACTTTCACAGTGGTTTTACACCATTTAAAAAATACTTTAATCCCCAGGGAGTCTTACACCCCAGTGCTTTTATTTTGTGCTACTGTCAACTCCAGTGTGGATAAGAAAATGCCACTAGATTAGAACGAGATTTTCACAACTATATCATTGGTGTCAGTGATGACACAAAAAGATACTTAAGAAGTATGACTCTGTGTCTTCTCTTAATTTCTGGCTTCTCTGTGTACAGGATCTGGTAAGATCTAGTCAAGAAGTTCCAGCAATGCAACAGTAGTCTTCATTATATAGATGCATACACATAATGTAGACATCTTTCTTGACTTGAGGATGTTGTTGATCAGTGGGTTGGACAATGAAACCTTACATCCATCTAGTAAGTCAGTGGAACTCTGCCAGCATAATACTTGCTGTACCCACCATAGGGTCACCAAGTTGTCTATGTTAAAAGAATCTGTTTGTTTTTTGCATTTCCAAAGGAAGGGTTTTGTATTGAGAATAAATCCTTGTGAGTCATGCAGGAATCAGTGCATAGACAAGTAAGCATGCAAGACAACTGTTCATAATTTTTCAGTCGTCTTTCGTATATCAACACAAGCTTACCAAAATTGAACATTTAAATTAGTTAACAACAGAAAATTATGGTTCTTCTGTACTGCCAGGAAAATGGCTTTTGTTTTTACCATGGACATAAAACTCTGATTTGCAAAATCACTCGCTCATCACAGCCATGACCAGACGGATTTGGCTGTGTTGCATTACAGGTGAGTAGAACAGGTAAGACTAGGAACTGTGAGGACTAAGACTTGATCATTAGCCATTCACTTTAGCATGTAAGTGGGATGTTTTCAGATGTTGTTGTATATGCATGTCATGAGAGATTTCTGTGCAGGGGTATAATTAGATGACTGTCACAAGCATGGCCACTTTCTTCCCCAAATTAGTCTTTCCTTGATTTTCTGGAAATAATTACTAGGTTTAGCCTCTATTCTTTCTTGCTCTTCCCGCCATTTTGAAAAATAATAAATGCAAAACCAAAGGGACGCTCAAAACAAAAATTAGCCTGCACTTTTTTCTTCTGGGAAAGAGGAAGAAAGTTAGCCCTTCTGCTGGATTAAAAGGGAAATAAAAAGAGACTGTAGGCTAATAAAAGTACCAAGAAGAGAGAAGAATGGTTACCTGGCTTGCCTTACACAATGTGCTTCATCCTGGAAGAAGAGGAAGTGTGAGAGCTTATTGCTAACCTTAGAATTAGGCTAAGGATAGTCTCTCTGTGAACACTCCCCATTCCAGGCAGTTCTGCAATGCTTCTTTTTGTTCAGGAAAAAGCCTTTTTGTTGCTGTTGTCATTTGGAGGCCTCCTCCACAGACCAGTCCTTAGCTTGATTAGATCAGATAACGTCATTTAGTCTGCATGTTTTCTTGGAAGTAGACCTGCTGTTTTTCTTGAGTATGTTAATGAACCCACTGCAGCACAACCATTTGTATTGCAAAAATAGAAAAACATTTCCACTGTAGCTGGTAAAACTGTCAGTGCACATCATCTAATGATGAGAGCAAGGCCTAATTGCCTTCTGATACTATTTCCTTTCTTTTTCAATGCGTGTTGTGTAAAAGAGCAAGCAATACTTACTGTTTCTTCTGAGACTTTAGGTGGAAACCCTTTCCCTGTTCAGTTGTAATCAGCATTTGTAAAAGTTAACTTTCTGTTGTGGTTTAACCTCAGCTGGCAACTAAAGCCCACACAGCTGCTCGCTCACTCCCCTCACAGTGGGATGGGGGAGAGAATCAGAAGGGTAAAAGTGAGAAAACTCATGGGTTGAGATAAAGACAGTTTAATAGGTAAAGCAAAAGCCGCGCACGCAAGCAAAGCAAAACAAGGAATTAATTCACTCCTTCCCATGGGCAGGCAGGTGTTCAGCCATCTCCAGGAAAGCAGGGCTCCCTCACGCGTAATGGTGACTTGGGAAGACAAACGCCATCACTCCAAACGTCCCCCCCTTCCTTCTTCTTCCCCCAGCTTTATATACTGAGCATGACGCCACATGGTATGGAATGTCCCATTGGCCAGTTTGGGTCAGCTTGTCCTGGCTGTGCCCCCTCCCAGCTTCTTGTGCCCCTCCAGCCTTCTCAGTCAGTAGAGCATGGGAAGCTGGAAAGTCCTTGACTAGTGTAAGCACTGCTTAGCAACAACTAAAACATCGATGTGTTATCAACATTGTTCTCACCCTAAATCCACAACACAGCACTGTACCAGCTACTAAGAAGGAAATTAACTCTATCCCTGCTGAAACCAGGACACTTTCCATGAAGTTTCTTCTCTTCTGTAAGACTATTCTGTGGTAACTAAGACACCTGGCATACCCTTCCCCATTCCAGAAAAGAAGATTAAAACCTTCTGCAGAATATGTGACTAATACTCATTTTGCTTCACTGAGAGAAACTTTAGTTTTCAATCTAGCTATCTTCCTATCTAGATATAACAGGTTTCCCATAAATACCATTTTCATTCTTTTAAACTTCAATGTGTAATACAAAATATTTGAACTCTGTGGCTTACAAATACTCTCATTGAGCTTGTCTCCTTCATCTTAACTTCAAAAAATTGTTCAGTTAATGACTCATCCAAGGACACTTTCTGAATTCAAGAGAAGGCATTGAATCCCATTTTCTGAAAACAGTGATTACTTCATATTGGCACCAGTATGACATTACTTGTTTAGACAGACTTAAATCAAGTTTTCTGTCATCTCTTTTTATTTTTGTAGTTTATACATGTTTTTTCAATCATCTGATTTAGGCATCACATCTTTTTTTTAATGCACTGTTTCAGATAGAACTGTGAAAACAGAAAATGTAATTTGTTGAGCCATTTTTTTGAAGTGGTTACTTTGTTTGACTTTTAGCTATGCACAAGGGGTTTCACCATATTGAGTATTCCTAAAAACAAAATTGTATTTCATGGAGAGGTCTGACAAACGATAAGCAAAACAGTGATCAAACTTACCTCCTTGTTTTCATAAAGGCTGCAAATGTCAGGAACCAAGACTATTTCACTAGTGCTCTACTACTCCTGTGGTGTTGCCACAGAAATGTAGGGCAGTTTGTTGTCTTGTGCACTGAGACTCATGCACTGAGTAACAAGCAGGTACTGGATGCACTCAGTAGCTCTTTGTGTGTGTGTGTGTGCGTGCACACATTTGCATGCCCATTCACATGTGCTGTGTTTTCTTTTCCAACCTGAACGATCTAAAAAGTTAAATCACATTGACTTGAGGCTGGCAGAAGGCAGAAAGATTGAATTCCTGTAAAGTTACCTACTCATTCTCTATCTGGATGTACCTAAGGCAGTGGATATCCACCCCCTCTCCCATGCTTCCTAATAAACATAATTTCTCTAATGAGGCTTAATTAGTGCCAATAAGGGCTTTTGCATGTTATTTTCTCCATGGTTCACTCAGCCCTTGGTGGCTACATAGGAAAAGGTCTTTGTTTCCAAAAGGAAATGCATAGAGAGAAAACACAGTTATGTTTCGCATAAATATACTATCAATGCTAATGTCTTCGGTCGTTGCATTGGGGTCCCACTTGAACAAATGATCTGAAGTAAAAGCCCTCTATTTACTTTTTTTTTTCTCTTTTTTTTCCCCCTCCTCTCATTTGAGACGCCAGTTCCTGCAGGTCTGTGAGTTTGTTTTTAAAAAGCAGTGGTTGGTCTTTTGCTGTTCATTGGTGACTGTTGTGTGGGAGGACTTCTGAACATGGCAGTAATTCCTTCCTTCATGCTGACTTTCTGACATAATTTTAAACCTATTTTAAAGTTTTATGTTGCTCTGTACATGCTCTAAATAACTGAGAATATTACAAGGTAAAGATAAAAAGATGCTATGTAGAGGTCCCTTTTGAAACTATTGCAGTAAAACTGAAATTCACATGTGCATACATGTATATAATTGCTCAGATTGAATTGCTGTGGTTTAGAAGCTTGGCATTTTCGAATGTAATTTTTTAGGGCTGCTCTGCACTTCCACTTAATTGCATTGTCTTAAATAATTTACCCCAGTGGTTTTGATGCCTGCTTTTTGCATAGAAGAGGGCAAAGGAAGACATAGTTGCACAATTGAGGTCAAAATCGTGTCAATTTGTGTGTGTATGCTCATTTACATACACATCTCCTACGTTTACTGGGAGTGAGGATCTGAGAGTCCAGCAACAATTAAGAGAGGTTTTTTCCTTACTAACACTGAATCCCATTGCAGGTGTTTTATCTTTCTGTGTTGACAACAAATGAGTCTTCTTGTATTAAGAACTAAAAAACTTAGCAAAAAAAATAGCCCTATATCTTTCTAGCATTTGGTTAAGAACTTGAAAATTAATAGTATCATTAGAAAAAAACAGAAAGAAAGTAGTTTTCTAGAGGTTTTGTAGCTTTTGATAGGTGGTATCTGTCTTTGTCTTCACAGTGTAATACCTGCTTTATTCATTGGGCTGTAGATCTAAATGCTCATTGCAAATGTTCTTTGAAAACATTCTCCTTCGCTAGCTTACAATTAGCAAAGCTGCATTTGGTATTATAGACAGGTTTTAGGAAGGGAAAAGGAAGGGACTGGGGAGGTTATGAATTTCTTTGCCAACAGAAGAAAACTAGCAATATACTCAGTGTGGTTATTAGAAGAGGTTGTTATGAATCGGGACAGAGGTTGCCTGCTAGAGAGAGACTATATCTTGGACAGGGCTATGACTGAAGGGGTATCTTCTTCCCAAACATCTGTTTTTAATTCCCGGTTCAGAGCATGGCTTGCATTTGATGATACATCCCAGTGAGATGAAAAGAAAGTAGTGAGACTCTATAAATCATATAAATACAGAAATAAATTTATGCAAAATTATTTCATTCTAAACTGGCAGATTCCTAAGTGCACAATCCAAGTTAGAGGGGCAGTTTCCTTTGGAAATCTTAAAAATTTCGGTCTTATTTTAAGTTAATCAAGGTTTAAGCATTTAGAAACTGTACTTTCATCTTTGATACTTTTTCATTCAAACTGCAGAATACTTATTTGTGTTTGGAATTTTGTCAATAGTCTATCTTTGGGCAGAGGTGAGATGTTGAGTATCCTCCATCCCATAATTGAATTATGAGGAAGGATGAGAGGCTAGGCACTCAGCAATTTGGAATTGGATCTCTCTTTCCTAACCATTTTAGCATACTAATGTCCAGACTTGTTCACACAAGATGTCCTTACAGCCTATTAGACAGTAGGAGTGGAAATCAGATGAGAAAAGAGAGCGCAATGAAGAAGCTCAAGTAAGAGCTGTTATTTAAGCAAATTTCTCTTTACTGTAATTTTCCAGAGTATGAGGTTGTGTCAACTGAAAATGGAGCAAGTGATGGTGAAAAGGAGAAATCGATTATCACTACAAATCAAACCCATTCTACTGTGGAAAACCTAAAACCTGACACAAGGTAATGAAATAATTTTCTAAGTTAATCCAACTAATTTAGACTGTCAGATGTCTGCCACTTCAAATGAAAATACATATGTATATAAGACCAAATTGGTTTTACTCCTGTTCTGACAGGGAAAAGGTATGCTTTGGTTTTGCTTTCTTTTAAGTTAACAGATAAGACACATCTGAGGAATCTTTAGGAAATTTCCAGGAGTATTTATGGTCTGGACAAACTGCAGAAGTGACCTGTTCTATCAGAAAGATTAACTGTCAAATGTAAGAAAATGTACTGCTTTTTATCAAAAAATCTCTTGAATTTAGCAGATAAAGAAACAAGGTGAACACAAGAAATATTAACCTGATATGTGAGATCAAGATTTATATGTACAGTTGTCTCTCTCTGGGGTTTAAGGATGCTTGGGACAACTGATGTAGACTGCTTGCTTATTTAGACGGATGTTCATTCAAATACTGGAATGCAAGCTGGGCAACTGTACAAAGCTTGACTATTGCATTGCACCATGGAGAGGAAAGATACATTTGTCCTGTATATATAGTTTTCTTTCAGTGTCTCGCAACAGCTGGCAAGTTAAAAATGGGTCAGTGAATACCAGTTGATGGCATACATCTCATGCAACTAGTCCAAATAAGCATTATCATTCTTTTAAAAAAACAAAAGTCATCAAAAATTATTCGTCTTTTTTGTGGTAAAATTCAGAGCAGGGAGAAAACCACTTGTCCTTTGTTTGTGTTGCTTATTGATTGCATCAGAAAGTTAATGAATGACACGTTTTTTTCCTCTAAGACCATCCATTTGGCTTTGGTAACTGGATTTTTCTGTTTCAGATAAACTGCCATTTTCTGTTATTATCCTTAAATTGGTAACACAGCACAAAATTCTGCATAGAACCCATCTTGAACCTTTATTTTTAGGCAATGTGTGGTTTAATCTGGGGTGCCGGTTCTTAGCTTATGTACTTGTGACCTGCAGCTCCAAGGAGGAGGAATGAGGAACTATTGCAGAAAGCGGAGGGGAAAGGAAGGGAATTGGAAAGGAAAGGCTAGGGGGAATTTTCATACCCAAAAAGAGCTTCTTTGAGAGACTCCAAAACTTGTAAGATGGGCTAGAATTGCTGTGTATTGCATCAAGAATATCTCTGTTATTTCTTAAAGGCATGTGGCTTGTGAAAGGGTGAACTGCAGCTGTGTTGTTCTGTCTTGTTAGGAGGCAATTAGGGTATGTTAGCAATACAACTGGAGACCAAGCATCAGTTTCCTCAATCTCTGCCTCAATCAGTTGAGAAGGCTTGGAAGAGACAGTATATTTCTGGAGTAGCGACTAAGAAAGGCAGTAGGTGCTGCTAAACTTGACAGGCTATGCTGTTTGTGTTTTCATTTCAGTTCTGCTTTGAAGTAATACAGTTGCATCCTTGAAAAGAACTGTGTGTTATTAATGAGATTCTCTTCCACTATACACTCGAACTCTTCGTGTCACATATGGTGACAGAAATGGGATGGATTTGGTTAAGTGTAGAAAAGACATGGAAGCAAAGAAAACTTCTGGATGCTGAGAGCAATGTCCAGATGGCCAAAAGAGAAAAGCATTTTTAGACTGCTCTTTGTTCAGAAAGGAAGCAAGAGGGAGGCAGGCAGACCCAGCTAGAACCATTGGAAAGGTCATAAGGAAGGCAGGAGCTATGCAGAAGCAGATATGATGGTTTTTAACTTTAATTAGTAACGATTCTGTCAATCCTATGAGAGGACTTTCTGGTTTTGGTAAGCAAGAGCAGACCAAAGACCATGGAGAAACGCCATCTTTTGGAGCGTGGGTTTTGTTACAAGAAGCTAGATATGAGATCAGTACTGACTGGTGGAGGCTGACTTAAGACATAAAGGGATAATTTTTCCCTTATGGGATGGTGGCTATTATCCTCCCCCCAGCCTCAAAAGGGAAAGACAGTGAAAGTCTTTCTGGATTCAGGAGACCATCACCCAAAATTGAAAACCTTTGATATAAATTGCAGTGGTGCATGTCCCTCGAGTCTCAGAGGATTTAAAGGATGTAAAGCCTTCTCAGAGTGGCTCTTTTTGATTAAACACCCATTTCAAAATGTGTGTTTCCTAATTTTGAGGACACCTTGAGAGCTTTGGCAGAAGCACAAGAAATTGCTGCTGTTATCGTTTGAACTCAGGCTTGTTGGCACACTAAATTCAGGGAAAATAAGAAAGTGATTAAGACAGCTGGCATCACATAGACAGTATCAGTGTTCCAAGGAATGTCATATGTCCGTAATAAAAGTCTCTGGTCTGTCAGGAGCTGATTGCTTACTAGATGAAGAAAATGGACCTGAGCACAAAACTGACTGAACATAGGAGGAAGAGAGACAACGAAACGCAGCTCAATAAATTAATTAACAGACTCCCTGAAATGTCTGCAAATTCATCAAGTAATACATTAAGACTGGGAAGCAGACTTTTCCATAACTAGCCTTAAAGGAAAGAGCTGTAGAAGAGGTGGAGCTGGAAAAGAAACTTGGAAGAGAAAAAGAAATCCCTCTTGCAAATGATCAACATTTACAAAACTACCAGCAAGCATATGGAAAGAGAGATGCTCAGTAGCAGAAGGTGGATTAACTGGGGAAGAACCTCTTGGCCTTGAAACACTTTGGAGAAGCTGACAAGCTGAATTTGAGAGTCTATTTTTTCCAGCTTTCCTGAAGCCATCAGTGAGGCTGTGTGAATCCCCTATGCTGCTCTGAAGGTTCAGTGCTTCCAGAGCTGAAGACAGTTCAGGAGGGATCTAAACCAGACAGACCTAAACAAACACTTTCCAAAAGGAATAAAAATGTTTGTGAATGTGGTATCTCAGCCTCCATGGGTAAATTTATACTAGAAAGATCCTGTAGCAGCAAGACAGTTCAAGCCTGTAATTCTCCAGATGTATGCTCTTGAAGAGCAGTACATGACAAAGATGGTCTGCAGTCACGTTGCCCAAGGTCTATCATCCTGTTGAGGTAAATCGCGTAGGATATGTTGGTTAGCCCAGAAGCTAAAGAGTTAATCGCCCACATCCAGCAGGAGGGAAGCAAGACAAACAGCTCCTCAGTGTGAAGGGGCAGAACAAGCAGCAGGGAAAAACTGGGTGCATCCGAGCCTGTCAGATCATGCTGTTTGTTTGCTTTTCTCTTTTACATTCTTCTTTCAAATAGGTCATACTGCTACACCTCTGGAAAGCTCTGAAGTCAGCCAGACACCCCTCTTCCTTTGAGCTGGCCTTTTGACAAGGCAGCTTTTAAAGATTAGGAGCTAATGGCCAGACTTTGAATATTTAAGAAATTTGGACGGTGTTAGGGAGGCAGCAATGAGAGACTCTTACAGTCTCTCATAAAAAAAAATTACATGTGTGACTGCAACTGTCAGTAAGTACAAACATAGAAGTTAAATGGGATACAAATTTCTCTGAATCATAGGATTATCATGTAGCATTCTGTGTGTCCATTTAGCTGTCTGAAAAGTGAATAGATCCAGAAAAAAATGCACTGGCTGAAAAAGAAAAGGAGTTCGGACTTTCAGTACGGTTATCGAGTATTTGGTTTTAACAGACTCATACCATGATAATATGGAAATGAAAATGGACTTTCATAGGCATGCAACAACTTGTGAGGGTTACTTTTAAACAAATAAAGTTGTATGTATTATGGCAGTTTGTCGTATCTCTTATTTGTCTTATAATATATATGCCAGCTTTATGTGTTCTTGGTGACTTGATTGCAAGACATCGAGACTCTGAGATGAAAGTAAAATAGTGATTTGAAAATCTGTCTAACTGTGAGGACATACACGTTTAAATAAATGTGGGGTGCAGTCAGCTGCTTTCCAACACAACTGCTTGATTTTTTTAAACAAAAAAAAGGTTCCAAAGGCTCCTGTACAATGTGATTTTATTGGAGCACTGAGATCCCTATGTTTTTTTGCCCAGGAAAAGGCACATTGTATCCATGCCATTCCCTCATAGTAAGGCATGCCTGACAGTTGACAACATCACATTCATTTGAAGGATTTTTCCTTATAGGATGACTATGTTGGCCTCTTTTTCACTTGGAGAATTGCCAAATACGGTGCTTGCAGTATTTCACTATCATATCTTAGAAAAATTCTGATAGTTTAAGTATTCTGGAAAGTTCAAATCTTGATATCCATTATTTGGTTGGTCAGAGTTCTTGAAACTGCTGCTGTTCCTGGCACTAACCTGCTGTCTGGGTCCAATCTAGAATTCTATTTAGTTTCATCAGATATTTTGCTTTTGATTGTAACTTTTACCTGAAATCTCTCAAAGCATGTAGTGTGGTTATGCTATGTGAGCTAGATAACTATATATGTCCTTCTTATACAGATAGTTAATTGGATATAACTGGTGCCTGAAGAGGAATACTTTCTCTTGTTTTATGAATGTCTTCTGCTTAATCATTTCTATTATAGATGTGCTTCTGTGATCTAGTAATCACATATACGCAGCTGTTGATTACAACTTTATGCTGTAGTCGGGTTTTGTTACCCTTTACATTATTTCCAAGAATTTTAGAGTACATCCAGGTCACATTTCACTCAGCCCTCTTTTCAGTATCACACTTAAACACACACCAAATTTTGTGCAGTTTTTGCCATCTTTATCCTTCAATTAGTCCTTCACTTGTTAAATGAGTGAAATAGCCAAATTCCATTCATCCTTTTTTCTTCTAGTTAGCCTGAACTAAGTTACTCAGTTTTTACTCCGTTGTTCAAGCAGTGAGCGTCTGTAACTACTGTGCTTGTTGATGGACCCTAAGCAACCTAATGTCGTTGGCCCTTTTAAGTCAGCCCTGTCGTGAAAAGGGGCCTGGACCAGATGACCTTCATAGGTCCCTTCCAACCTAAATTATTGTATGATTGTATCTTAGGGGTAGTTTCTGATCTTGTAAATCTCAGTTTCACCCATTTTTTTTTAATGCAGGCCGAGGCGGTTTTATATGTTAATGC